AAAAAATGAAATAAATCTTTTTATGCATAAAATGTCGCATATAAGTTAAAATTGAAGGTTAGGTGTTTGATATGTAAATACATAGGATTTTGCTTGTTTGCATGTAAAACTTTCCCGAAAATAAACCATTCCAAGCTCCAAACGGACGAACAAAACAAATGTGTGTGTAAACTAGGAAACATCGATTAATTCAAACTCGGAAAGATATTCAATACGCTAATAAAGAAAGATTTATTGAACAATTTGAGAAAAGTAAGATTTTTTACACAATTAAATGCATTCGTTAATCTAAATAAAATCTAGTGCAATAAAAATGGAAGAACCAAAAATCATATTAAAAAAAAGCTTAGCGACAATTATTCGATAATTAGATTAAAAAACTAAAACAATTTGCTTACGAGATGCAATTCAATAAAAAAAAATTGAATAAGTGAGGAAGAAACACATAATTGGATAAGATAAAATTCTGATGCTTACCGGAGGCGAAATGGTGAACAGTAGAAATAATTCTTTAATTGAGAGAGAGTTGTAAGTAAGTATATAAAGGATGAGGTTTCCTTTTTAAGACTTACTTCATTTGAAATAAATTTTAACGACTACCAGCCTTCCAAGTATAAACCTCTCATTTTGAATGAATTATTCTTACTAAATTTCCATAATTAGATAGTGGATGTTTACCAATTGATTCGATTTCAAAACGTGGACAATTGGGTTCTCTACTTTTGATTATTGACTATAGCTTAAAATCTAATAATTTGCACGATATAATTACTTTCTAAAGCTAGTTTATTTATCAATCAAAATAAATAATAATCAGTTCTAATTAGTAAGCGTCCTTTTTAGAGGCTGTTGATCATTACGAAATATATTTATATATTTAGATATTTTCAGAAGTAAATCTTTTTTTTAAAAACAATTTATCAGATACCATGAAAACAAACCATAAGACAATTGTTTTGTTCACCTCTAAAATAACTGGAGCATATAGTAGTATAGGATTATTTCTTTTTCTTTACAACTATAAAACTCTTGAGTTTCATGAAATTTCTTAAGCTACAAGTTTTTGATCCAATAATCTTGGAAGATACCACCCATAAAGGCAAGTCTATGCTTTATGAAATTTTCTTCTGTACAACTGCGGAACTCGTGAGCCTCACTGCCGATTGGATGACCGCAGGGGCTGGTCCGCTGTATGGATTCTTGAGCTAAAGGAATGAAGCGCTGGTTGTGGTTGGGTGATTCTTGAGATAAAGGAATGAAGCGCTGGTTGTGGTTGGGCTCCCGGTAACTTGGAAAGAAATAATTCTTTAATTGAGAGAGAGTTGTCAGTAAGTGTATAAAGGATGAGGTTTCCTTTTTAAGACTTACTTCATTTGAAATAAATTTTAACGACTACCAGCCTTCCAAGTATAAACCTCTCATTTTGAATGAATTATTCTTATTAAATTTCCATAATTAGATAGGGGATGTTTACCAATTGATTCGATTTCAAAACGTGGACAATTGGGTTCTCTACTTTGATTATTGACTATAGCTTAAAATCTAATAATTTGCACAGTATAATTACTTTCTCAAGCTAGTTTATTTATCAATCAAAGTAAATAATAATCAGTTCTAATTGGTAAACGTCCTTTTTTAGATGTTGTTGATCATTACGAAATATATTTATATATTTAGATATTTTCAGAAGTAAATCTTTTTTTTTTAATTTACAAAAATGATACCATGAAAACAGACCATAAGACAATTGTTTTGTTCACCTCTAAAATAACTCGAGCAAATAGTAGTATAGGATTATTTCTTTTACTTTACAACTATAAAACTCTTGAGTTTGATGAAATTTCTTAGGCCACAAGTTTTGGATCCAACAATCTTGGAAGATACCACCCATAAAGTCAAGACTATGCTTTATGAAATTTTTTCTGTGAAACTGCGGAACTCGTGAGCCTCACTGCCAATTGGATGACTGCAAGGGCTGGTCCGTTGTATGGATTCTCGAGCTAAAGGAAGGAAGCGCTGGTAGTGGTCGGGCTCCCGGTAACTTGGGAAGAAAATGAGAAATAATATACGCTTAAGATATATATATTTATATATATAGTTGTTGTATCGATTAACATTTTTTCTAGAAATAATTACATACAGGCCTGCTAAAATATTGACATTTATAAATTAAGCGCCTATGTTTTTCTGAACTACCCAATTGATTTATATATGCATGCCACAATCAAATAATTAAAAATTTAACAAAAAATGGAAAAAATGGGTTGGGGTTTTAATTTTTGAGTGAGAATTTAAACAATTGATGAAAGAGGGTGGTTGATTTGTAAACAGTCAGTTTTGGATGGTCAGTTTGTAATTGCACCTTTTTAATTTATATTAATGAAATGTTTTATTTTAATTTTTTTTCTTGGCTGCACTAACATCACGTCAGAAAGAAGAGGTTGTGAGAGTGAGAATGAGAGGATTAGGAATTTTGGAAAAAATCTGCGGACGTATGCAGCGAGGTTATGTTAGAGAGGTTATTCAGAGGGTATTGGAGGGTTATAAATTAAAATAATTATAGTTATTTATGAATACCAGATTAGATTTTATATGAAATTTCATTAAGAAAACAATTAACTTTCCATTCTCTCATTCAACAAAAGATTAATAATTTCCAATTTGCATTAAAATTTAAAGATTAAATTTAGATCAAAAACTAAAATCGCATCTTAATAACCAGAGATTTTTAGATCTCGGTCGTAGAGGTGGTGAACTCGATCTTGATCTCTAATTACGAAATAGTAGGCGGTGAACTCGAACTCGAAGATGGTTTCAAAAGGAAATTAGGCATTTTGAGATTTAATTCAAAACTAAAATGTGTTTGAAATTATATACATTTAACCTATTAAATTAGTGAAATTATTTGGCATTTATTTTATTTTATTTTATTAATAGAATTTTTTCAGTAAAAATATAACTTTAATACTAAATTTCGATGATTCAATTATTACGGCTAATTTAGTTTGTTTTAATTTAATATAAATGTAATCATATTAATTATTAATTATTAATTTATTTAGTTAATCAGATATTAATTTATGTTTAGTGAATTTAATTAAACATAATATAATTTATTTAAGATTAAGCGAAATATCTCATTGTATTCCATTATGGTTAATTTGATTTCGACAGGGCGAACATAAACTCACCAAAGCTTTCAAGAACTTGTCAAGGTATGCTTTCAAGAACTTCTCTTAATAAATAATTATTTAATGTTTTCTATTATTTTTAATTTCTATTTAAAAAAATGACACTAATTTTTAAAAAAGAAAAAAACTAAATCATGATTATTGATTAATTGCTAAATAGAATAAAATAATTAATTAAATTATTGCTAAATAGAGATTGCTAATTATTGCTAACTCAAAATATAAAATCAATTAAATTAATTGCTAAATAGAAATTAATATCTGATTAACTGAATAAAATAAAAATTAATAATTAGTCTAATTACAAATGATAGAAAACCAAAAATAAATTAAACCCCTCGTCAGAATTGCATCATGAATATTTTGTATTAAAATTATAGCTTAATTAACAAAATTATGCAATAAAACAATGCCAAACAATTTCAGAAATTTAAAAGTATTAAACATCTATCACTTCAAACAGTTTTTGAGATTAATTAATCACCATAAAACCTACAGAATCTTGATTTTGAGTTAAATCGTATCAAAATCAAGATTTTCAAGATTTTGAGTTAAACGGTAAGTAATTAATAACTCCTTGTCTTAAGCTATCTAGTTATTTATTACGTGAAATATTTGACGATTTATGGAAATTTAGTTAGAATAATTCATTAAAAAAAAGATGTTTATATTTAGAAAGTTGGTTAGTAGCCGTGATTGAAATAAGCAGAAGAGTAGATTTGAAATTTATTTCAAATAAAGTATAAGTCTTATTAAAGGAAACCTCTTCCTTTATATGACTACTTACAAGCCTCCCTCAATTAGAGAAGCACGTCAAGCACCTGGCTTTTATCTCATCAAATATGTGTTTCCTCCTGACTTTTCTCTCTTATTCTATGTTTTCTTTTCATTGATTAAGGTATATTATATGTTCTAAAACTATGGCAAAATTTATTTTGGGTGCGAATGATTGCGCATTCAATTGAGCAAAAATAATATGAAGCAAATCATACTATGTAAATCATAATATTCAATATTATGGAGCGGTTTTAAGATTTTCTTTTTTAACTCACATTTTTTTTTCTATATCTTCTTTAGTCCTATCTATTCAATAATTTGAGAATGTTTTTTAAATCATTATTTTTTTCTGTACTCAAGATAATGGACAACCACAATATTTGGAATTAGGGGGTTGAATTATATCCGTGTCAGTCGAACGCCTTAGAGGATCTCCAATGGTTCGTTATCACTATAAAATTGGCTGACATGACAAGATCAATGGCCAAGCGAATCAAATGCTTTGATTATCATCCCAAAGTCATTGAGACCAAACAATCAGGGGAAAAACTGGGGTTCGCAGAGGACGAGGAGTCGAGCAATGAAAACTACATAAGCAAATTCAAGAGGAACACTAGGATTAACAAGTGCAATAATGACATCCTACTTAGCAGTTATTCTTCTAACAGGTGTTTCAAGACTTTTTCATTAGCTCAGACATCGCCATGGAATAAGATCGGGGGTTATATGTTTATTTCCTGCAATGAAACCATGGAGAAAGACATTAAGATGCAGTTGTTCTGTTTGCCACTAAGCTATTGTGACTCTGTCAGGGCAATTACTCCAGGAATGCCTCTTTTCCTTTACAATGAAACAACTCGCCAGCTTCATGGAATTTTTGAAGCAACCAGTTTTGGGGGTTATAATATAGATTCAACAGTCTGGGAAGATATCAACTATAAGGGCACTTCTAGGTTTCCCGCACAGGTGAGGATTCGTATTAAGAAGCTCTGCAAGCCCCTTGAGGAGGATGCATTCAGGCCAATTTTACAAAATTATTGTGACCCCACAGCTAGCTTTGAACTCTCAATTGTAGAAACCTCGGCCCTATTAGATTTGTACGAGAAACATGACATGAAACTTAATGAAGCTTTTGGGAAGAGCAAGCTGAAGGAAAGGATGTATCCAGTTAAAACAAACAGCTAGCTTAGATTGAGTATATGTTTATTGTTATATTTCTATAGTTAGTTTGATTTTGGGGTTTCTTAGCCTTATTTGTTGTATTTTTAACGTGTTTAATTGTCTTTTATTTTCAAAGGGTTATTGCATGTTTCATGTGATATTGATAAAATGTTTGTCAATTATATTTGACTTCAGTCCTTCAGTAATATCTTACACATGTCTGTTTATTTTCATTGAAAAATCAAAGTTAATTGATTCTTTCCCACTTGATTATTGAGATGAAAATTTATTTGTCGGTGTAATGTTAACTAATTTATACTAAAATAAATTATAAAACTCGTAAATATTTAATAAATATTTAGCAAACTATTACTTCTTTTAACCATCCATATAAAATCTTCAAAATATCTCTTTTAAAAGGAAAGCAAAGATAAACATTAACACCATTAATCTCGCTCAAACCATTTAATCAGCTAAATATAATAAATGCTAAATTAAAATTTATTAATGCTATGCTTTTCGATAAATTCAGGTTTTATTATTATTATTATTATGTCCATGATATCAGATGAGAGACGGAGAAATTAAATGCTTGCTTACGACATTGACTTCTATTGCTGTAATGCAACACTTTGATTTGATTTAGAGTGTTTAAAGATTAAAGAAAGATTTACATACATACCACTTAACTTCTATCTATTATTATTATGTCCATGATATTTTAAGTATTTTTAAAATAAATTAATTTAGTTTCAATATATATGTATGCTATTAAAATAAAATAAAAAAATAAATATATATATATAGAAATATGATCGCAACAAGAGTTTGGATAAAGTAGTCCTTTGTTTTCTAGGCTAATAATAACTGCACAAGATCAACGCATGACTCATATTATTATGGTTCAGTATTGTAATTCATGAATCAATCATTTTTTCAAACATTTATAATACATTCTATGCTATTTCTGAAATAATCTCTAATCTCTTAGCATTCATCAATAATAGGAGAAGAAAAAAAAAGTTTTATCTAATGGCCAAAACATACTCCAAGAATTTTCTTGTTCATAAAATCTAATGCTTGCAATAGGAGACAAAACCTTTTTATCCATATATCATCTCCAAATGCATCATAAGGGCTACCACTTACAATGAAACCATCATACTTATCTAGTTATTCATCTTCATAAAACACTACATCCACAATCCTAAAATATCCCAAATCTCATCTTCACTCTAAATCACGTCGACGAAATCATTGAAGTAGCAGTCATTTTTAACTATTTTAATCATGATTTTATAAGTAGTTGGGTTACATTTTTTTTAAAATTATCATTCTTACAATTTTTATCTTAGAAATTTACACCTTAATCTTATGTGGGGTAGTGTTGATCATAGAAATGCTATATTTTCTAGAAATTATTCAAGGGTCTTTTTTATAGGCAATTGATGATTTTATTACATAATGAGTCATGCGTTGATCATCATATCAATTAATCTTTTTTCTCTCGATCCCTTCAGTTTATTTGAAAGTAAGTTGTGACTCACTATAATAGATAAAGCTCGGAGGACTCGACCCAAATGGAGTAAAGATTACATGAAAGGAGTTGATTTTTTTTAGAGTTCGCTAGTTGGAACATGAATTTATTATGAAAAAAAAAAAAATCCCTTATAAACTTAGTGAATTGGCTAACTCCATAGTATTATTTTAGATGGCAAAGTTATTTTAACCATTCCACTATGACATTTGACTTATATTAAACATATGTATTATAGTGGGTCACAACTTACTTTCACTATAATAGAATTTTATTTTAACCAAAACATAATCAGAACAACAACAGCAATAATAATAATAATAATAATAATAATAATAATAATAATAATAATCAAAATTATTGCATACAAAGTCACGTCAATAAATAAAATATAAATATTTTTGAATCATGATTTTGAATTGTAACTAGGAAGCGAAACTGTGAATTTGATCTCAATCTCGACCTCTAATTATAAAATAGTAGGCAGTGAACTCGAACTCAAAGAGGGATCCAATAGGTTAGAAAAATAAAATTTATTGAACATTTTGAGAAAAGTATGATTTTTTGCGCAATTAAATGCATTCACCTATCGAAATAATATATGGTAGAATAAATATGAAAGGACCAACAATCCGATAAAAAAAAACTTAGTGACAATTATTCGATAATCAGATTAAAACCCTAATATAATGTTCTTATCATTAGAGATTCAACAAAAAATATTTGGATAAGTCAGGAAGTGACGCATAATTGGATAAGATAAAAACCTGGTGCTTGCGGGTGTCCAGAGGGTGAACAACAGACATACTTCTTTAATTGATGGAGACTTGTAAGTAATTATATAAATTATGAGGTTTCCTTTTTTAAGACTTACTTGATTTGAAATAAATTTCAACGGTTGTTAATCTTTCAATTATAAACCTCCCGTTTTGAATGAATTATTCTTACTAAATTTTCAGAAATAAATTCTTCTCCTTCATCTCCCAAACCCATTCTCTGTCGTCGTCTTCCACCGCGGGGGATTTGAAGCGAAGTCTAACACGCTAATCGATTTAAAAATTAATTTTGTAAATCGAATATGGTATTTTGAATCTTTTACAGGTTGGTTTTAGGGTTTAATGTAATTGTGTACTATGGATATTGTCATTTTGGTGTCAACTTAAAATGCTTCTTTGGGGTGAAAAAAAAAGGTGAAATATCTCATTGTATTCCATTATGGTTAATTTGAATTCGGGAAGGCGAACATGAACTCACCAAAGCTTTCATGAACTTGTCCACGTATGTTGACCCAACATTCCTCCATCTAATAAGTTAGCACCTTCATACATATATATCTATACTCAATAATCAAAGTAGAGAACCTAATTGACCACGTTTTGAAATCGAATCAATTGGTAAACAGCCCCTATCTAATTATGGAAATTTAGTAAGAATAATTCATTCAAAATGTGAGGTTTATACTTGGAAGTTTGGTAGCCGTTATAATTAATTTCAAATTAAGTAAGCCTTAAAAAGGAAACCCCATCCTTTATATACTTACTTACAACTCTCCCTCAATTAATGAATTACTTCTATTGTTCACCATTTCGCCTCCGGTGAGCACAAGGCTTTTATCTTATCTAATTATGTGTTTCTTCCCTCTCTTATTTTTTTTTTTTTTTTTTTTTGAATTGCATCTCGTAAGCACATTGTATTAGAGTTTTAATCTAATTATTGAACAGTTGTCGCTAAGCTTTTTTTTAATCTGATTATCGGCTCTTCCATATTTATTCCACTAGATTTTATTTCGATTAACGAATGCATTTAATTGTGTAAAAAATCTTACTTTCCTCAAAATGTTCAAAGAATCCTATTTTTTTCAACCTATTGAATTCCTTTCCTTGTTTGAATTAAATGCATGTTGTTTCCTAATTTGAGACTAAGATCGATATCAAATTCACCGCCTCTGTTTCCTATATAGAGTTCAATAATATTTATATTTTATTTATTGTCTAGATTTTGTACACAACAATTATTATAATTATTATTATTCTAACTATGTTTTGGATATTTTATCATGAGTCTTAGATCTTAGCCGCATTTTCCGAAAGGTTATTTGACAAAATTAGTTTCGATTCGACCAAATTGTTTTCATTGAAAATTATCAATTTTCTAGAATATAACTTTTCTTCAAATTTAGATCTATACATTTATCATTATTTAATGTCAATATTCAATTTTTTTTTTTGTGAAGTTTTAGGTCTATCACGCAAAAATATTAACTTTTGAATAGTTCAGAGGTTAAAATACGAATTAATTTATAACCTCATGAACGATGTTTTACATGAATCACGTGCGGTTATTACTAACCTAGAAAACAAATGACTACTTTATCTAAACTCTTGTTTTCGATCATCAACATATTTAAACTTTATTTTGAGTGTCGTTAAAAATAATTAAATATATTATAACATATGAAATGTAATTAATTCTAAATAATAAATAAAATTAGAAATAAGAAGAAAAAATGATCTCTTGTTATGTAAAATATATGAAAATTTATTGAAATCCAGTAAAAAAAAATTCATCTTTTTTTTTGCTAATTACAAAAAAAACTATATGTTCTTGATAAATCTCCGCCTAATTTTTTCCCGCCAATTCCTAGAAAATAAAAAATCTACGTTTATATTTGGAAGGTTGTTAGCCGTTATAGAAATAAGCGGAAAAATAAAATTGAAACTTCTTTGAAATTAAGTTGTCTTTAAAAAGGAAACCTCACCCTGCATATAATTACTTGTTAGTGATCGAGTTCACGTCTATTGTTTCCTAATTCCCTTATGAAACTCTTTTCGAGTTCAGAGATCACCACCTACATTTTCCTAATTATAAAATAAGATTAAGTTCAGCGTCTCTGCGATTGAGATCGAGAAATCTCTTGTTATTCCAATTCTGAATCCGATAAACTTACCGAGGGTCTTAGTACACTCTAATATTCTCCCAATACTTTATTTTTCAATTTTCAATCCGATTCTCATATTAAACGAAGCATTTCTTCAGGATTTATTAGTTCTTCCTTAAATTTTTTTTCCCCCAAATACATATTCAACAATTTTAGAATATTTTATTTTAGTGCAAATGTATGTCTTCAATTGACCTAAAATTAAGGTTGCAGAAGTTGTTAAAAAACAAAAGTTATACCGTTCTTAGTAAGAATTTGTAATAGAGTTTTAGCCCGATCTTTTTTTAGCATATTGCATTAGGGTTTTGAATCTAATTCTTACTTGGAATGATCAATTTATCTTTGATTTTTTAGTATTTCTATATTTCTATTCCTCTAATTAGTAATTTTATGTTTCATGCTTCAACCATGCTTTATTTTGGTTGTCAATGAGAAAAAAGTTTAGGCATTGTTTTTGCACTTTTTTTATTATTATTTTATATCACATTTCTTAATTTTAAAGGAAAAGTTTGGTGATATATTGCCAAAAAAATCATGCAGTTTTAAGGT